TCTCTGAACCGGCTAGAGGCTACTTTCCGTAATGCCAGAGACGCAGGCGATGTCCAGCGAAGGACAAGTACAGCTCTTCTGCTCTATCCTGTTCCCTATACTCTTTCTTCTCTGAACCGGCTAAAGGCTACTTTCCGTAATGCCACAGACGCAGGCGATGTCCAGCGAAGGGGACAAGTACGGCCTTTGTGCTCTATCCTGTTCCCTATACTCGTTCTTCTCTGACCCGGCTAGAGGCTACTTTCCGCAATGCCACAGACGCAGGCGATGGTTGGCAAAGAAATGCAGAACAGAGAGACTCTCGCTCTCGTCCTCGTGCACTATTTGACCACCAAGTGAACTTCCGAAACCCCGCCTTGCCGCGCATAGCCACTGCGTTACCCCGCCATTTCACGGCCGCAATCACCCCGCCATTTCACGGCCGCAATCACCCCAAATGCAGAGCAGAGAGACTCACGCTCCTTGTCCTCGCGAACTATTATTTGATCACCAAGTGAATTTCCGAAACCCCGCCTTGCCGCGCATAACCACTGCGTTTCCTCGCGAAATATTTGACCACCAAGTGAACTTCCAAAACCCCGCCTTGCCGCGCATAACCACTGCGTTAGCCCGCCATTTCACGCCCGCAGTCACCCCGCCATTTTCACATCCGCAGTCACCCCCCGCCATTCTACTTCCCTCAGTTACCCCGCCATTTCACGTCCCCAGTTACCCCGCCATTCCACGTCGCAGTCAGCCCGTCATTCCACGTCCGCAATCAGCCCACGCATGCCCGCCGGTTTAGCCCGCCACCTACCGGTGGACCCACGTACTCGTATCTAGGTTGGGTCTCACGTACCCGGATCTTTATGTTTCTGGCCGTCGATTTTGAGATCAATGGCCAGAAATGAATGATCCTGGCAAATGAGACATCATCAGTCAATGTCTGGAGGACTCGAATGAGGCCTACCACAACACCACGTCCACAGACGGGCGGGGAGCTGCATGCGCCTGTTCAGAAACTGTCGATTACTAGCGCGTCCAGTTGGTTCACAGTTTTGATGTTTGTGGTTAGAAACGGTAATCGCCGCCGCACAGTTTCCACTGGTTCAGAAAATCTCTACGGTTGGATAGTCGCTCCAGCATCCGCGCGCTGCTTCAGCATTGAAGACCTCGGTTACAGAGTTTTCGTGGCCCTCACGCGAACCTGTGGGACAACCTGCAACAGCAACTTGTGAAACACTCCTGGGGGGGTCCACTAGCAAAGAGGGTAGGATTCTCGGCCCGAATCTTGACGCGATCCTCTCTACTATGGTAGTGCTTTTTTTTTTCTTTTTTCTCTTTTTTTTTTTTTTCAAAAACTTCATTCAATTTCAAACTCAAATCACCATTGAGGCCGGGGCCCTCACAATTCCACCCGGAGTTATCCCGGCAGCATCAGCCGGTTTAGCTTAGTAAAACCAATTCAACTTCAACAGGTGCACACACATCTCACTACAGCAACTATCCTTCTAAACCAATCCCCCTACACCCTCCCATCCTTGCTATATATCAGCCTCTCCACTAACCTACCCCCCCTCTACCTACCAACTAAATCAGGTCTAACCCGACCTGAGAACCAATCTAAACTCGATAGGTGGGAGCTGGTCCACCTATCAACCCACTCTTGCTCTGAGTCTACCGCGACTAGTGTCCATCCTAAATGGCAACCGAGTAGTCAGGTTGCCTCACATCCCTCCTCTATCTACCAACTCTAGTTGTCCAGCCACGGGGCCGTTCGCAGCTTTCCTTCCGTGATACAAGCCAGCGCTCCTGGTCTCGCCCAGGTTTTCAGAAACCAGCGTTCGCCCGGCCCCCTGTCTCCCTGCAACACCTTCCTTCTCCAGTCTGCCCGGATCTCTGCCTTCAACAACGTTCTGAACATCTTCTCTGCCTGTTGCTCCATGAGTTCTCGAGACTGAAACCTTCGGCCATTTCTGTCCAGCCAGATCACCCACATCATAATCGCCCTGGCAACTTGCGCCATGTACCCCCAGCCTGAATCGATTGGTACCCCTAGTGGCAGGAAGCCCTGTAGAACCCAGGGCATATCCTGTGCAAACTTGGTACCCGACATCTTCTCCCAGTGAGCAAACCACCACAACCACCATTTCTTCCATCTCGGACAGTCCCACCACAAATGGGTCATTGTTTCCACAGGCCAAGAACACCTATCGCACTCCATTTGTAGTTGCATACCTCTGGAGCTGAGCCACCTCGCAGTTGGAACCGCTAGGTGAGATTGAAGCCAAAGAAGAGAGGCTACTTTCTGAGAAGGAATGACCGCCATTTGTTTCCACAGCCGAACCAACTGTTCTACCGTGGGGACTGGTACAAACGGCTGGGACTGTTCCCATCTAGGGATAAGTTTTCCCACTGTTTTCTTTAACTTCACTCGATTGCGGCCTGCCATTGCCATCTTCAGTTTACTCAGATCTTTCACCACCACCTCTCCAAACTCCCATCCCCACATTTGTGGGTCAATTCTCAACTCTCGAATTGGAGCCCCACCCGCAACAATGCTGTGGATCGACTGTCCCTGATTGTCCTGCCTATCAATTGTCCTGATTCGAACCTCCTGCAAGCCACCCAGTCCCCTACGCGTCACAGTTCCAATCGCTTCAAGCGCTGTGGAGCTGGGAATAACTCTTGTAAACTCCTCCAAGCTGCAGTTGCCATTTCCCCTCTCATCCCAGCTTCTCAGACAGAAAAATTTATTGTATTCCTCCCCTTGGGTTCCTCGATACCACGAACCCGGGGGGTTGATTCTGGCTGGACCCAAAAGCTGCCTCCATTCCACCGGTATTGCTTGAATCAGAGAACCCAATCTCTCAGCTTGATAAGGGAGGCGGCCTAATTTCTCCTTCAGATGCTCCGCTGGATGCCAGCAGTTTGTCATCTCATCCCACAGGTCCCCCACCGTCGCAACACCCCGCTGTAACCATTTCTTTCCAAATGCCCCTGGAGAAGAAGCGGCTGAGAACATGCGACCCTCCGAACTTACTATTAGAGAGTTTTCGAAGAGCGGCTGTGCTTTCACCTCTTCTTTCATTCTGGGCTGTGTGCGAAGGTTCGGCTTTACCTACTTCCAAGCCTGGATTACTTGATTCCAAAATGGTGATTTAATGTGCTTATTGAGAAAGGAGTCGGTCATCATGGCCAGCCATACATCCGAGGGCCGGCTCAGGCCCCATTCATTCATCAAGATATATTCCGCCATGAGACACCAGTTCGGAGGTTCCTGCGCTTCTGCCACTTTGATTAGCCAGCTTGCCAACAAGGTGAGGTTTTGCGAGCCCGGATCTGTAATAGCCAGACATTCATCCTCCCTTGACGCACAAACTGTCTCCCAAGCCACCTTAGCAATGAATCCCTAGTTGTCTTCAGCCTCTGGTTTCCACAAAAACCGTCTTGCAGCTGCTCGAATCACTTTGAGAGTGGAGTCCGACAGTTTTATCGTGCGCAGTACAAACCAAAGGATGGAGAACGCGGACACCGTAAGCACTAATGCTCTGCCCACCAACGACAGATGCGGGGCTCATCCCCAGCTCTTAATACGCGTCAAAACCCTCTCTTGGAGGATTACTTCTTGTGAAGAAACAGAATCCCCCAGGGAAATCATGACGCCCAAAAACCTCTGTGCATCACCCATTGGAACCCTCTGCATACCCCATTCTGCTTGAAACTGGTATTCCTCTGGAAGAAAGTAAGACGACTTGTTCCAGTTAATGGCTGCTTCCGAAAGCTCAACATACTGGTGTAGACAGAGCCTCGGCGCTTCTAGTGAGGAAGACGTGTTCCGTGAGACGGCGAAGAGGTCGTCAGCTAGCGCTTTGACCCGGCATTCTCTTTCGTCTTACAGTTGGAGTCCTTGAATTTTTGGGTTAGCTCTAATTGCAGAGCTGCAAGACAAACAACAAAGGTGCAAGGGGGCAACCTTGCCGTAGGGAGCGAGAGAGCTGAAATTCCTCTGAACAGACCTCATTGACCTGGACGACCGCAATTGAATACGCATAGAGAACTTTAACCCATCGACAGAAGGCGGAACCAAACCCTATGAACTTTAGAGTTGTCATAACAAACGTCCAATTGACTCGGTCATAGGCTTTTTCCAAGTTTATCAACAGCACTGCCAACTCCAGATTCTCCTTTTCCAAGATCTCCAATGCTTCAATGGTCGTCAAGATATTTTTCGAAAATTGACCGGCCTTGCACGAAGGCGCCTTGATCTCCGCCGACCAACGCGGGTAGACAGCTCCCAAGGTGGGATGCCGGCCTTCGCATCATTTCCGCCAAATTTGAAGTCTTCTCCAAGATCCCCAGGGTAGACAGCTCCACGAACACATTCGACAGCTCTGTTGACGAATTGTCCAATAAAATCCTCAGAGGAATACAGGTCAAGCCAATCGAAGGGAGACCCGCCCAATGTGAAGTTGGAATTCTAGCATCGATGAGAGGAATATAATACTTGATCCACTGTCCCGTCGACGTTTCAATAGTTATCTTCGGCATACCCTCCTCCGGAAATAATCTGAAACAGAATCGGTCGGCGTACAACTCCCTAACTTTAGCTTCCACCTGCTCTGGACCTAGAATCCCGCATATCATCGATGCCGGCAAAATAGTTTGCCTATTACGATGAATCAGACCCAAGACAAAAACTTCATTGGCCAGCAAGGTACAAACCAAGGGAAGAAGGAACTTCTCTTCATGTTGCTGCTCGTTTCCTGTCCGAGTAAGTACTCCATTCGCCTAAAAAAAATCCCGAGTACTTTCTCTCCT